ACCTCAGACCAAAACAGGTGAACAACATTAAACAATAGAAGAAGAACAGGAAGCAGCTACAATGTCTGAACCACAAGGACGTTCATTTGAACTAGTGCAGAGTACTGTGGTACTGTGGTACTGTGGAGTACTGCGCCTGAAGGTGCTGATGATGGGAGTGATAAAAAGAAAATGTGCAGAGTAACTGACTCGGACATTTCAGGATAATATCAGAGAATTTGTCTTGACAGAGAAACTCAAACGAAAGAAGTTTCTGGTTTGTAAACTCACCCTGTCCAGATGTTCTCAGAAACGTGGTGTTTGTGTTTGACTGAAAACCAGCTGACCGCTCTTCTTCTCCAGGTCATGACCGGCTCCTGCTCTTTCGCCTTCACTTCCTAATTTTCACCATCCAGTAACAAAAGTTAAAAAAAAAAGGAAATGACCTCGAGGTTCACGCCACAGTTTTAATGCAAGCGTGCAGCGTTCGCTGGAACCAGATGTTGAGTGATCATAGGGCAGAGAAAGGTGAACAAAGGGGAAAAGTACCAGCACCTGTGGAGGGAGGCAACACTGTGGGTGAACATCTGGAGAAAGTTTCAAATATCTGAAAATACAGAAGTACTTAAACACAGTCTCAACTTTTAAGACATTCTTTCATTTGTTGTAAAAATATATTCCGACCAGTTTTTACGTCTGACTCCAGTTTGTTGTTTTGTATTTTCCTCTTTTTAAATATTTGTACCATGTACATTAACACACACAAGTTTAAATGACCTAATCAAAGCTTTACCAAACAAGTTGACTCCAACATTTCGTATCTATTGATACGAGAGTGTGTGAAAATAATTGTGTGCGACTATTAAAATATCTGTGTGGATTTGCACAGATCCTATAACTTCCTCCCACCTGCTGATTCAAAGACGCTGATTACGGAGGTTGTGACGATTCATCAATTCTTCTCTGTTCGTCCCCGTCTTTATTTCCAGGTGAGAAGCAACGAGACAGGAAACGTCTTTATCCCGTGTTAAGTGTAATGTCGGAAGACGCAGTGCGGCACTCACTGTCAGCGAGCCTCCTCTTCCAGGTTCACATTTCTTCTCAGTCGCCACAATAGACTCGTGGATCAACCCTAAGCAGGGTGTGATTAATTCCTGAGCCACCGGACAAGGTGTCATCCTCTCTCTTTATCCCATCAGTCATCTGACGCCGTTGGACGTTAATCACCTCTTACGTCTCGTCGTGACCCCCACAGATGGTTCGTTCTGGTCAAAGAGCCACAACGAAACCCAATCGCAGGCTGGACGACGAGTCCCGCATCCTTTGTGTTATTGACAATGAAATGTGTAGATGTTGCAGAGGACGGACAGGGAGTGAGTTCTGTGATGGTACCAGCAGGGATGAAGATTAATGACACCACCAGCCCCGTGTCTCCTGTTTAATAATGCTTATTCATCACTGTCGCCGCATGCCGACGGTAGTTCGCCGCCCAAACATGTACACAAATGAGCTAAACGCACCAAATTCCACACACACACACACACACACATAAACACAAACACACCTACATAACCAGACTGAGAGATTAGTTTTCCCACTTCATAACAGTGCTCGTAAAGTGCACGCCGGAGTAACCTGACATGTAAAGTCCTGTGTTAGCTCATGAAAGTATTTTCCTCTCACCGCCCCGGCCTGGTTTTTAGCAGATTTGCATACAATTGCACGGAACAAGCAAACCGCGGGGACGTGCGGAACATCGTTTTTTATATGATTTGAAGGCAAGGTGCACAACCATGTGCTTCACTGAGGAGATGAAAGACGGCTCGAAATGAAGAGAAACAACCGAATGAGGAAAAAATAAGGGACCTCTGGCCTTTACTGCTGTGAGAATGAAAGCCATTTTGTCTTCAGTGTTTCTGCCGTTCTCCCTTCCCCTCTCACTGTGTGTGTGTGTGTGTGTGTGCCGCACTCTTTCTCTCCCGGCTTCCACTTTTCTCGTGCAGGCATTTCTCATCCTAATGGAAAATAAAGACTGGAGTGTGGCCGAGATAGCTGCTCCAAATGAAAAACATGGAGTCAGTGACCTGAGGCCAACGCCTGTCCATCTTGGCCTTAAAGCCCGAACGAGTCTGGATCCCACTCTCGCTGATGTCCACCTGATTTAGAACATACTGTAGCTGCACCTAATAAAGTTGTTTGGAAAAGAGGTTGAAGACTTTCGCTGCTCTTTCATGCTGTAGAAACGTTTAATTCCACGGGTAAGACAAATCCGGACGGGCTTCGGCGTCTAACAGGAACATCCCAGATGCATCTTGCCTCCTCATCTCTTTCAATTCTCCGTTGGCGTCGACTGTTTCTCATTTTATCGCTCGTGAAGTAGCTTTCATCAGTTTACCCAAAGTTTTCGCGGCTGTTGAGAGATAGGAGCTGAATAAAATGACTGCGGTGCCGCTGAGATTTCAATCAATGGGTGAGTGCAGGTTGTTGTGAAAATGTTGTGCTGCGCATTTGACAGCCTGATCAATTCCAAGTGTCTACAGCGAATCTGCAAACTGATCACAAGTGGAGAGATGATACCGGGGAGCAGCCTCGCTTCAGGCTTTAATGCTGTTTTCAAGTAAGCTCTTAACAGTCAAGGACGACTGGCTGCATCTCTACATGTTTTCTGATAAGATTCCTTTACAGGAAGCAGCTTCATATGATCAAATCCACACAAGTATTCACATTTCCTCAGCTTCCCTCCTTAAAATCCTCGTCTCTCCAGCCTCCAGTGTTTTTAGATTACCCTCCAAAACCCCCCCAAAAAAACTAGCTCGCCCACCGCTGCGTCGTCATTGTCCAGATTTGGCCACCAGTCACGGCGTGTAATGGCTGAGAGGGTTAGTCTGTGCTTAGCCCACACACATCCGGCTTATCTCGGACTGCAGAGACCCAATGAAACAAAAAGGTTAAATAAGGGATTTGGCGCTAGCAAGGCTGCAGCTAACGATTCTCCCGCTAGCATGGACGCCTTTCCAGATACACTTTTTTTTTTTATTTCAGTCGCATGTGCTTTCGCTACAGTGCTGTTGTCCTCATGTAGCTCCACAGACAGAAATGCACAAGTCCAGTTTGTGGCCTGAAGCACAACTGTTGGGTTTAAGGCTTTTGTTTCCCACTGGGATTTGAAGTGGTCAGATTTAGATGTGCAGCTTCTGACTCTCTACCGTCAACAATGGACAGAAAATGGTTCTGTCTGAAGTGATTCTATACAATCAAACAACATAGGACTGATTTGATTAGATAATGTTAAACTTATACATAAAAATATTTTTAAAAAATTAATTTTACACTCCTTCATACTCACGCACCAATTTGAATTATGCACATTTCCCATTGCAGTGTGATACGGCCGATCAACCGTGGTCTCTCCAGGGACAAAGAGCCCGATAAGACAAACCCCTCCTGCTGCGGGTTTTAATGAAATATTTATGATGAAATGTTATGTGCAGAGATTCAATCAGCGATAATAAATAAAATCTACAGCAGTTATGTAGTGGTCAGTTTGAGGCCTGTAACTAATCTGTGACACATTTTTACAGCAACACAAAATGCTTTTGTCATTTTTGCAGCGGAACTTGAACCCCGGGGGGTTCAGAGTCTTTTTCCTCCCAATCAGCATATTATTACATATGCTCAACATCCCTGTTATCACACGCATCTCATGGAAACTTTAATTACCATTTAGGGGTTGAACTAGAAACATGCTGCCTACATTTGCATATATGTAAATCATATAGATTTTTTATTTTTTGCATGCGGTGGTAATAGATTTCTTTTCCAGCCTTTAACCCCATGTTAACGAAGGAGTGTAACAAATGGGCGTTGAGTTCCTCCCCTCGACCTGATATCTGTGCTGTCAGCAGAAGCAATTACGCTTCCTGTGGTCAGACACGATAGTGAAACGGCTAATTACATTGTCGTCTTCTCCTTCTGCCGGCGTTCAGCTCAGCCAATTGCTGGACAATGAAATTAGCCATCCAGTTCACTAAAGCTGTCTGGCGGAAATTATTATGTGTGTTTGTGTGTGTGTGTGTGTGTGTGTGTGTGTGTGTGTGTGTGTGTGTGTGTTGGGACCACAAGTCAGCCGTAAAGCTTCATGTCTGGAGTCTGAAAGCTCATTTTTTAAAACATAAAAATAGAAATTATCTCTTGTTTTCATCTCACTTTTGAATTTCGTTTCCCACCACGAGTCTGTCTCTCATAATTTACGAGACGCTCACAGCGGACTGTGGGAAGCAGTGTTTTTAACTCCAAACTGTGTTGTGGTCGTCTCTTTGAGCGTCGTCTCTCTCATGCTCACTCCAATAAACAAAGCTGCCAAACACCAAGTCTTTCAAATTTTCCTTTTATGATACTGACATTTTTTCATCTTTGAAACATGAGAGCACAAGGGAACCTCCGGATGAATGACGAGTTGTTTATTTTTCATTTTTGATCAATGTGGGTGGAATAATATCTCTGAAGATGTTGTATCACGTCCACGAAGATGTTATGTAGTGTTTGCTTTGAATACTTTGATATATGGAGGCTGAGATGTCTCACACAAGCACATTCATGAAAAACACAAATGCAAAAGTCACAACACAACAGAAACAAGCGACGATGGAACGAGAGTTACTTTCTGCGTTTTTGGTGAAAACCTGGAAAAATCAGTTAAAATTGACATGCTTGTCTATTTGTAGTGTTACGGTAAAGTTCTTCCCAGATGCTCTAAGCACCTGTACCGTAACGCCTCAAATAGACAAGCATCACATTTTAAACAGAAGCTAATTGTCCAGGAATTCAAACTACAGCTCACTTGACTTGACTCTTTCATCCACGACGGTTTTTGCAGTTGTGTTGTAACTCGTGCATTTGTGTTTTCCATTAATTTCCATTAAAGTGTGTGATGAGCTGAAAGTTCCGTAGCTTTTAATGACGTCCTTCGCTATTGGTCATTTAAGATCACATGGGCAGGGTCACAGTTTAAAACCGGCCATTTTGTTTTGAAGTGATGCACATGTCAGGTGTTACAGAACTTTCTCTGCTTCATCTTTTCCAGCTGCTTCGTTTGTAAGTTCATGTCACGTTTTATATTTTTCAGGATTAGCAATGTTGAATATTTTATTGCTTTATTTCATATTGAGTGAAATTATCTTAGTTCAGGAACATTTTCTGGAGCTTTTGATTTGTCGTTTGTTGAACTCATTGTTGTGTTTAACAGACTTGCTTTTAGTTTTTTGGATTCTTGAAACTGATTTTAAGTTGAACTATGCTTGTGTGAATGTGGGTCCACACTTGTACTTCTGTATTACGTAAACTAGTGTTGGTTTGTTGTATCCAACAATTAGGTTAAGTTTTGTTCTGCGTTCGTATGATAATTAGCAGGATTAAGCAAAATCTACCGAATGGATTTTCACAAAACTTGGTGGACAAATGTGGTTTTGGTCAGAATAAACCTGTGTTGTTTAATTCTGGTCTTTGTACAGATAAACATAGGCAAGAGTAAAATATATGTTTCATTGGTTTTTATGTAAACTGCTCAGGACAATGTTTTATGATGAATCATTTAGTTCCATGAGACCACGTCCCTTCTTCTTTTATATTTCAACTAAAAGTACTGGACGGTCGTGTGAAGGATTGCTGTGTATCTTCAGGTGAACTCTTCTCCCTCGTTCTGTCTCCGCAGCATTGTTTCACATGTAAGAAACATTTCGGATTTCACCGAAATAGATGAAGAGTGGAAGCTGGGGTTGAGTAGGAAGTTTAAAAGGCTGCTGAAACAATTGTAGAGCCTGAAAATAAAATAATGGCTCCACACCTTCACAAAGACAGTAGGTGGATGTACTGTTATACGTATAATAAGGTGGAGACGTGTATGATCCAGTCTGATGGAGCTTTAGAAACTACACAGATCGTGACTCCATGTTTCCCTCTGACCTTTCTGTGAGCTCTGTTAATGACGTGGAGCTCCCGCCCTGCTGCGTGTGGATCTCCCTCAACACGAGAATGTTTAGCGATGCTTTGACATTTGACCTTTGCTCACATCTGCTGTGGTCCACCGGCTGTCAAATCTGATATCATTGATTTTTGTGTCACATCCACGCTGGACAGGTTCGTTCGGAAAAAAGATCTGGTTTCCTACTTTTTCTTGACATTTAAAGTGGCTCCTGAACTTTAGGCCTTTTTCTCTCCTTCTGTTCACAAGTGAAATTAGCTCCTCTGCTTTTGTTTGTTGGTTGAGTCACAGCCTTCACTTCCGTTAATGAGGACTGGTATTTATGAGTGTGTGTAGTTTGGTGCAGCTTGATCGAATTTAAAGGGGCCGTTGGATTTCTATTATTTTCCAAAATGAAGATGATGCAGTTGTGTTTCATGCGGGCGGAAATAAAATGGAAGCTCAGATCCCCACAGTTAATTTTTTCTATAAATTTGAACAAGGAAGCTCTTCGCTGTGAGGTCACTGCACCGCCCACCTTATTGCTATGTTATATTCCAAATAATTTGTTAATAGTTAGACACAGGCAGCTCTTACTGAAGGTAGAGTTATGAGAAAAGATCCCTGAAGACTGTTTAAAGATTGTGACTTCAGCTGACTACCGGCCTTAGTCGCATAGCCACCAGTGTCTCCCTCTGAAAACCTGAGCGGAATAACTCAAACAGTCTGTCTGAGTTTTGCATTCAAAGCTTTTTTTTCATCATCTGAGAGATGTTTCCAGTTTGTCTGGAATGAGTAAAATACTTTTTGTCTGCAGCTTAAACCAACTTTTAAATCCATTATGTCTACAGGCGGCACCAGGGGCTAGGGCAGTGAAACAAAGGAGACGGAGAAACTGTTGCATTTAAATGTTGGTTTTTGCCCAAAGCAAATGTCGTCATATCACAAAAATGCCTCTTGAATATGCAACCCACTGCTCTGTTAAAAGTAAAAAGTCAAATTTACACTTTAATGGTTTGCATTAGGAGGCAACCAAAACAGAATCATGCCAGAGGGGTGGAAGTCTGAAATGGTTAAAGCTGTTTGAGTCATTGCCACAGGTCTCATGAAAAATGAAGGCAAATAATATCATAACCGTAACATCGAGAAGGTGCTGTTTGGAATCCTGCATTTCCATAAATATAACCCAAAGAAACTTTGACTAGACTGGAAGCAAATAAATGAAATGTGCACTACATACATATATATGTGGAAATTAGTTTGTTATTGTTGTACATGCATGAGGCCTTGTCTCATGTTCACTTCTGCTCACATCCTCAGTCACTTCTACTTTATCATGTATGAAACTGGGCTGTTTGACATGCATTCAATGGTTCTGTCCATTTACACACAATCAAAAATAAAAGCAAGTCCACAAACGCTGTGGTTATGGATTGAATGTAGATAGATCCGTCCGCAGACGTGTGTTGGGTTGTTTTCTGTTGTCACCAAGTTTCAATGTAAGTGTGGGCAAACTAAGAATAAAAGTAAACGGGGATAGAAAAGATAAAGAAGTCTTGTTCTATTTTTACAGCGTCGGCCCCTCGTGATTGCAGATGGCCCCTGTGGATCTATCACCTTTGTGTTCTCCATCCTCTGCTCTGCCCTCTCTTCTTTCTATTAAATGCTTCAGTGGGAGTTACAAGCCACTCAATCATTTCCTTCCCCTTTGATCGAAGCTGATGGAGGGAAAAAAAAGCCTCATTGTGCTGCGACTCCAGGGTGAAGCAGCAGGACCCCTGGGGGTCAGCTGCGAGCTCGCACAGATATTACATCATGTTTATGTAGGAGGGGGCACAGACTCATCCTCGGCCATATGTGCCAGCGTCCTGCAGGATGACTTTGATCTTGACTACCTACCCGCTGCCTCCCCAGGGTCAAATTCAAGTGAAGGCCATAACTTCTCTCAGATTAAAGCTGCTAAACTTTGCCAGGGGCCAAAGATGCTGCTGGCTGCCCTTCGACCTTTGACCTGTTCCGTGAGGGCTGAAAATAAAAAATAAAACGCAGCGTTAACTGGTGTTGTGGAGCGACGAGCAGCAGTGCGGCATGGCTTCGGGTGATAGGAACGTACCGAGTCAGTTCTGTTTTTATCCCTCTTTCCGTCTCTCTCTGACCATTTCTCGCTGTCAAGGTGATGTTGCCGGGCAACAGCCAAAAGGAAATGGGATTCGGTATAGCAAGGTCAAGACTGAATGTCTCAAAAATCTTTCTCTCTCACTCACGCACACACACACACAGACTCAAATGCATACAACTCTGACCGTGAACCTCGAGGTAAATGCTGCAAATCTCTTGAAATCCTCCTTGAATTTTTATTTCCGTCTGATTCCGAGGTGCCCGACTCTGTGCCCCGCCTTTATCCAGCTCAGGCATTGGCTTCCTCCAGCCACTTGGAAAAAAAGGCTGGGGGGTTGGAGGAGTGGGTTGTGAGGAGGAAGCCGACTAAATGTGCCAAGAGACTGTCTCGCTTTTCCACTGCAGAGGTGTGGAGGGATTACTGCCCGGCTGCTGACCTTGACTGTAGAAGAGTCACAGGGACGGTCTCTCCCTTGTTTGGCCATTAAACAAGAAGTTACTAGAATCTCAAGTCCAGACACAAAAGAATACAAATATCCCAAGATGAAAAAGAGGAGCTGTACCTGGAAACACATTCGAGAGGTTCTGGTAATGAGGGCTGACGCCAGTGTCGAAGATTTCTGAAAAAATGTTTGGACTTTCTGAAAAAAGCTTTAGAGGAAAATCTGAGAAACTGACGTGAGTTTGGAAATAGTTTTCTCAGGTAATCATCTACCTGTTGTGGGGTCCCAGCTCCTGCAGTGTAGTTTGTCCTGTAATCTGTCAACTCCGACTCTTCTCCTTCTTTCTTCCCACTTCAGCTCTGATTTCTAGGAGACAGAAGAGTTGTGGGGGATGAGGGTGGCATGTAACAGAACTACAGTCGAAGCTGTAAAACCCTGCAGTGTTTCTACCCTCCCCTCTAACCATTCCTCTTCTCCTGCAGTTTCCTGTAACTTTGGCTCAGTGTGAAGTACTTTTTGTCATCTCACTAACATAACACATGTCCCAGTAACAAATGTGTCAGTAGCAGCTGCTCAGGTGTCTTTGACTGTTCTTCCACACCAGGCGCTGCTGAATCGTCTCAGTTCCTCGGTTTTTCAGAGCAGTGACAGTTTCTGCTTTTTCTTCATCCAGTGAACTTTTCCTGTCTGGATATGAAAGATTAGCAAAGATGTTGAAAATAAAACGCCATCAATTTTAAATTCTATTAAAATGCCCCCAAACATAATTTTTCCTGGTGTCATATTCTCAGCCGACCGAGCAGCAGCTAATTTAAAATGTGTATTGATGGTTACAGTGCTGGTGCATAAGACACCATTTTCTTTAGGGGGGTTCTCAAATATCTGAAGCAACTAAATTTAGTTCTTTAAACAAGTTTTACTCTGGGTTACTAATGTCAGCTTTGATGCTCCTGAAAAATGGCACCTGAGGTCGCAGCACTCACTCACAGCAGCTCGTCCTCTTGCTTCAAATTAACTTTACTCCACTTTTTCCACTTTATTCATTAATCATTGAGAGAAAGTTGTGGTGAGTGAGCTGGTCTGGAGCTGAGTTTTGTGCAAACAAAACAAAAGAATGCAGAGCTGTTGAGGAAAAGAGCCTGCGACGTTTCACCCTTCACACTCCGACGCTTTCAACTTGACGCTGTTGGGATTTTTTTTTTTTTTTCATTTTTTTGCGGGTGCAGGTATTTAATTTGTCTGGCAGGTATTCAGGGAGCAGAGCGGAGCAGGAGGGGAGCAGGGAGGCCTCATGGGCATCAGGCAGGAGGGTAAACAAGCTTCAAAGCCCCAGCAGAAGCCTCAGACTTGACCTCTGACAACTCATTAGTTACACACCAGGCAGCATCTGGAGTAATCGCACCAAGCATCGTGAACCATATCACCACGAGCTCCACACAAAACTCCAGAAATGCGCAAACAGGGCGTTCTGTTAATGGATGGAAAACAAGAATTATATTTGTTTAATCTGGGAGGTGATTCTTCCAGAGAGAGAACTGTGTCTAATCCTCCCACATTCACTGCAGCTCAAAAAA